AGAATTTAAACTAGAAATCCCAACTTCACTAAATGAACAATGATTATCTGGACTCTGAAGCTGACAGGAAAAAAAAATCAGGAAAAAAAACCCAAACAAAAAACAAAACCAAAAAACCCAGCTACAGTCTTTCCCAAGAGCAATTGCCCTTTCTGGCAGGAAGGCGTAAAAATAGAGGCAGCTCATTAATATGGCTTGGCAGTGCTTAATGGCAGCTGGTCTGAAGAGTTAGATCAGTGGGTCTTTCCAGCGGTACTCCCGGACCACTGCCAGCAGGTGTTGCTGTGTTCTACAAAATGAAAAGAAGTGCGGGGGGGATGGGGAGAAAAATATTTATAAAGAGAGAAATAGGTGAGAAAAAAAATTAGTTACTGAGTAAAGCTTTCATTAGGCCTTTGGTAAAGCTATACACAAACTCCCTGAGGCAATAAGGAGCATGCTCTGAAATGAATAATGCTTTTCACTTCTCCTAAACTCCTTTCAGAAGTTATCCTGCACTATAAATCACATACATGCTTGCTGTACTTCACTAGGTAGCTTTTTCTGTCACAGATCACACGCTTTCTCATCAGGAATTCTCTGACTCGCTGCCACTGAGGGAGAAGTTCTGGACTGGCTGGGTGCTGCATCAGTAGGGGTGTGATGGTCAGCAGCCTTCACACCAGCTGCTGCAAGTGGAGCACCACACTACTGTGAGTCCAAGGAGAAGATAGCTCTGTTACTTTCAGGGCAATTCTTCCATTCTCTGTAAAACCAGTGCAATATAAGATCTCTTGCTGAGCATGTCTGCTGCCAAATTGCAACAGTCCCTGCACTAGCAGTATGTAACTAATTTCAAGAGTTTTAGGATGACAGTTAAAACCAAACTCACTCTGGGCCCGAGAAAAACAGAATTGCAAACTGGAAAAGTCTTTTGCCAAAACTCAGTTTAGGATCCCCATTAAAAATAACTGTGAATAACTAGGTATATGCATACTCATTATCTGTTTCTTGAAGCAAGTCTCTCACTGTTACAGAAGAAAAAAAAAAAAAGGAAAAAGAAACCATAAAAAAGCTGTTCTTTGTAACAATTGGAACCACCAAAATCAGACTGCAGGAAAGCTACTGAAACCTGTTTCAAGAGGCTTCAATCCATAGCATGTTACAGCCTGAAAATTTCTTATATGCATATTAAAAATGGGAAACAAAACAACCCATCTGGTCATATGCTTCCCATTAACTTCTATTTTTTGCTTATTCTACCAAAGCTGTTGTGTGAATACAGCGCACACACATTAGTTGGGATCAACACTGCTTTAAGGACTCTCTGGTATCACTGTAAACTGAAAGTTTTAAATCTTTCTTCTCTGATCCAGATCAGCCATATTCCAAGACAGATTAAACTGACATTACCAACAGGACATAAAAATACAATTATAAGTACGATTCAGGCCAAAAAAAAATCTGAAGGATGGGGATTTTCTGGTAATCAGTGGGTGTTTTGAATGAGTAAAGACTGCATGATCATGCCATTTGTCATCAATGGTACCACATAAAGCCAGTTATTATGTGTGTTTAAGAAAGGAGATGGATTTTGGATTTACTTTTGACCATATATATATATATACACACATATATGTGCGTATATATATAATATATATATTATATAGATATATATATTACTTCTGTACTGCCTAATTGGCATAGTTATTTCTGATTTTCATTAAGGTAAACTGAAATGAAAATTGCTTTTTATTTCATTCCACAAGTCTTAATATCACACTTGCAAAAAATGTGACTTGTCATTCATTGTATTTTATTTTTAGATGTCTAAACCATTTTTAATAGTGTGATGCAATCTGCATGTCAAAAAGCCAGAGGACTCGGGCAGGAGCAACATGATTCATTTTTTAAGAGCTTTAAAGGGATCCCTAAGTTAAACAGAAGGACATATTTATTCAGAGATTGAATTAAAAAAAAATCATCCACAGCAAAAGGATTCTTACTAAAATGCATTTTCCTGAATTTGAAAAGGATCCAAATTTGCAGAAAGAGTATCTGATATATCCTGAAGTATGAAAGAAGAAGAAAACAATTTGCAAACTGGTAATTAAATATCTGGCAAATACTATATTTAAACTAAATCAGTGAAATCTACATCTAATAATATCTATATAGCTATGCAATGAAACAAGCTGAAGTGTGTCTTCCTGACTCATAATGTTTGCTTTCAGTCTGATGTTAAGTTCTATCCTTTAAATGGAGATCACCACTACAAGTTGAATCCACGATATTTTGTCATGCTAGCCAATTAGGAGTTTCCATTAGATAATTACAAGAAGTATGTCTCATACAGGAAAAACAGTCAATGCTGATGTAACAGGATTAACCAATCCAGCACAGTGATCCGGCCCACTTACTTTTGACAGACGTTATATGTGAGTGTACACATAAGAAGTACAGTATAAAGCTTCGCATTATAAATACCACAAAGAGGAACTTCAGCAGTTCTTAGTGCACAATACAGCAGTCTCCTTCTGAGAGTCAGGACTAGAGAGGTAAAACTTTAAATCGGCTTTTTTCTTTTAAAACTGAAACTTTTAATTCCTGTGCATGTTGTTGCATATTGTTAGGGTTATATTGAATGAATACATATACAGAGCTTTGCAGCTCAGGTAATTTTATAGAAAGAGTCTGAACCACCATTTCTGTATATATTCAAATGCTATGTATTTTTGTACATATATGTATATGCATGCAAGTACAAATGAACTTGAATCAGCGGTATTGACAGACTCTCTTTTAGAAAACAGTGGTTTTTAGAAAGTTATGCTTTAATGTTAAATCTGTCATCATCATGGCATGCAAGTGAAATATGCTATCCCTATATGTAATAGAGATTGTATGCGATAAGTGTACCTCTAGTAGACGGCAAGCAACGTATACCCCACAGCAAGAACCCAAACATACTTGTCTGTATTTTATATTGGTTTATGCCTATCTTTTCCTTTTCATCAGACACTATTGGGATAGGTGCTATATTAGAACTATAAATAACTCCTTTAATTATGTCATCTGTTAGTACATCTAATCATGAATGCATATTTTCATCTGAAATTATTTTTTCGTCCAATTAAACTTTTAGTTCTATTTCAAGCTGACTTTCAGACTTCGTATAATTACAACAGACTTTGGGCTGTTCACAAGATCCAAGAAATTTCAATGTATTATAGTGAGGTTTGTGTTACAAAGATGTGTTTATAAGAATGGCTGCAGGGTTTATAATGCTGACAGACCTGTAAGTGTAACAGTATATAACAGTATAGCAACTGAGGTCAGTAAAACACAGATGAGGGTGTACTGTGGATGCTTTATAACAGTAAAAGACTTATAAAAGAGCTTAATTGAAAAGGACTTGCAATATATAACATTTGTAAAACTTTGGTTGATTGTTCAATTACTTCTGTGTGTTTCATTTACTCTGACTATAATTCCTTGCCTGTCTCTTAGCCCATGTGCCTGTAGTCATCTCATGGAAATTAGAGACCTTTAAAAGCTTATATTTATAAATTATTCCTTTCCACTGTGAAATACAATGGTTGATGGTAATATACTAAAAGTGGAATATTTGCTGGGTAGGAGGTAAGCACACCTGAGAAGACAGAGCTGTATCAGAAAGAGAATGAAAGGAAAGAAAAGGGTAAACACTAAAAATGAAGAAGCTATTCTAAGAAAATCTGTACAAGTTAACATCCAAAGGGGAAGAATCCCAAAAAGTTATAGTTATAGCTGTAATTTTTCCATTTTCCATTATCAAATTCAAATGTAAGCGAGTTGGCTAACTTCAACTTCCCTCAGTAAGAAAGAGAATGGAGAGACAACAGAATCTGAAGGCAACATGAAGCCATGGTAGTGACACTGGGAATGCCTTTTCACTATAGAGCATAAACTGTCAAGGGGCTACCAGCACTGGTTGAAACTCCTGCTCCTAGTAGCGCTTTAGATTTCTTTTAATTCCTACTGTCTTATTCTAATATTATGATTGCTCTGTGTGATTTAAATGAATGAAGCAATACATGCCTTTTAATAACAATGGGCCAAATGTAGAAGATCTTACTCAGCCTTCACTCAGAATTATTATTGGCATCGATGAGGGATTTGCTTGAGCCAGAACCAAGTATGATTTGGCCAGATGACATGTAACTCTTTTTACCTTCAAAACATTTTTCAGGCATTGCTTGATTAAGCCCAAACCTAAATATAACTACCTGAGAACTTCTAGGCACAGACTAGCATAAAAGTAGGGGTATTTCTGGTGGGAGGGCACTACCTTCACATCACAGATATGTGCTGTACCAACTCATGTTTAGACTCTCAGTGCCTGACTGCATATTACAGCTGGGGAGTGTATCATGTATTATAGAGCCCTCCAAACAACAGTGTGATTTTGCACCCTTCAGATCTCTTGCCAGTGTTAACAACCTCCAGAAAAGGTCTTTTCTTCTACTCAGGGCAGAATAATGTTCTGTCCAAAATATTTGGAGCCACTCCCCTCATCCCCATCTCTTTCACAAGCTATTTAACATCTCCTGCTATCCCTAACAATACCATGCAGGACCAAGAGTAAGGTGCTTGTTAAAGATTTCACCCTTTTCATTCATTCATGTTTCCTCTGTTTAGTTAAGCCAGTGATATGTTGAAGGAATAAAACAAACAAAACAAAACAAAACAAAAAGAAAGTGGAAAAGAAAGGGAAAAAAAGGGGGGAAATGACAGCGGGGGGGGGGAGGGTCGAACGGAGAGAGAAAAAAAAGAGTAAATTTACAGCAATGAGAAGAGATTTTAGAAAGGGGGGAGGGAAGGAACCACGAGTAGTGATATTTGAAGAGAGGTGTGTGTTAGGGGAGCAATGAGCATAAGGAAGCCAGCCTGCCTGTTCCTCCCCCTTCCTAATCATAGCCTTTACTCACAGACAAAACTCCCTCCCTCTCTCATTCACTCACTCACTTTAGGCCAATCCGTCCTCTCTCTCTCTCTCCCTCTCTCTGTGTCTCTCTCCTACTCTGAGACAGAGTCAGAACTCTTCTCCCTGACAGCCACAAACATCTACAGTACTTATTGCATTCAGAGAGGGAACCTGCAAACAAAACTTCACAGAAAACTTTTGGTTCTTGTTCCAGAGAATTTGCTGAAGAGAAGGAAAAACAAACAAACAAACAAACAAACTAAACCAGCCCCCCCCCCCAAAAAAAACTGTTCGTGAAGGGGGAGGAAAAGCAGGGCCTTTCAAAAAGGGAATCACAACAACTTCTGCTGCCAGGATGCCTTTGCTTTGGAAGAGAGGATTTCTGTTGGTGCTTTGCTGGATTATAGTGAGGAGTTCCCCAACCCCAGGATCCGAGGGGCACAGTTCAGTCACTGACTGTCCATCATGTGCCCTTGCCACGCTTTCAAAGGATGTGCCCAGCTCACAGCCTGAGATGGTGGAAGCAGTAAAGAAGCACATATTGAACATGTTGCACTTGAGGGACAGACCTAATATCACCCAGCCGGTGCCCAAGGCAGCACTTTTAAATGCCATCAAAAAACTTCACGTGGGAAAGGTGGGAGAGGATGGTTATGTGGAAATAGAGGATGATGTTGGAAGAAGAGCTGAAATGAATGAAGTTGTGGAGCAAACCTCAGAAATCATCACTTTTGCAGAATCAGGTGAGTGCTTGAAAAACAAAACTGTAAAATATCCTTTGTGTCAAAACTGCAATTAAGTTATTTTCTTCTCCTCAGCAATAATGTTTTCTGAAAGGTTGTAGGATGAGACTTGGGGGAAGGGAGAAGGAGGAATGGGATGGGGGGGTTGTATAGGACTCCGAAGGAATTTGACTTTTCTGACTTAGTCTTGGCTACAGCTTACACTTGCTAAGTACAGTCAGCCACACAGGGAAGTCAGGCTGCAGCAGGGTCCTCCAAACTGTGTCTGTGAAGCCAGAGTACATGTAGTAAAGTACTGGATCGCAGAGTTGATGGTGAAGGAAAAAAGTCTGAAGCCTTTTGGAGAGTATATCAAGACAGAAAGTGAGCTGCAAACTACTTCAGAAACAACCTTTCATGTAAAAATTAGAGTGGAAGTTATAAAATCAGATGAAGCAGCTTTAACTGTTAAAAGTGAGAGGGCTTTTTTGTGTTGGTTTTTTTTTCTTTTTTTTTTTCTTTTTAATTTAACACAGCATCTTCGGCAATAAAGAGTTGCAGGGACTGTCAGATGACTGCAATAGAACCGGACAAGTTGCTGTAGCTGATCCAATTTGTAATGCAGACTTCTGCATACTGGAAAAAAGATTCTGTTCCTAAAACATTCCAGCCAAAAAATGCAACTTTGATATGGTGTATTTTGAACTCTTTCACAGTTCTTTTCCCCTAACACTTATGCAGTAAGAGCTCAGAATATATATATTTACTAAGTAATGGCTTAAGACTCCTTTCAACTGCTTATAGGAAACAGCTCTAAAGTTGTACTTTAGTGCGCTGTTCCTACATGAATAGGACCAGAACCCATTTTAATTCAATATATAAGTATCTACATCTGCATATATATCTGTTATTATGGATGAGTATGTTCATGCATGCATCAATAGTAGTATCTTGCAATAACTCTATCATCTAACTAACAGCAACTTTTTATGATGCTGTCTAGCCAAAGCATTTTTCCTGTTGCCAAGACGGTTTTAAAAGAATGTCATTGTTTTGTTTGGTACAGCATATGGTAGGCAAAGTATGCAAAGGAACTCCAAACATTTTTGTTTAAAAGTTTGCTGCAGCAGTATAAACAATTAAGACAACACTCAGAGTTTCCAGTCCTGAAAACCTGTTGACTCAGATGTTCTGATTGCAGGGAAGCCATGCACAAGAAGTGTGCATGCTTTTAAGAACAGACATTCCTTCTGGCTGTCTGATTTTCAACTGTACAAGGAATCCTTGCTTTCGGAGTCCTTGTCAATATACACATTATCAGTTCTTTCAGTATGAGAGCTCAGGCTTTTCAAATTTTCCATCCCCTTCACTTCAGAAAGCAGGCAGAAGGTGTCAATGCCAGAGGTCATTAGAAGCAGGGGCAGCTCAACATTAGTTTAGAAATGAATTTGTAAAAGCAAGGAAATCTCTAAGCTATCTATGAGTCGGATTCCCCACCTGGTTTTCAGCAGCTCGCTCTGAGCACAGTGGAACACATATGGCATGAACAGTGGTTTCTCTTCACTGTGTGAGTCCCAATCATTTGTAAACACATTATGTCTCTCCTGAGCTCTGACACAAAGGAATTTGGAATTTGATATATGCCTACTCTGTAAGACACCCTCTAACAGCGGCTCCTGAAGCCATTGGCTCTCGGGGTCACGTGAGCAGCAAAAACCATGTCATTGCCTACACACTGGCCAATCACCCTGCCACCGATCCGCCCCACCACCAGCTACCCAATACTGACACGTCACTCAGTTTGATTTACATAGCATTGTCCTACTGTTGCTAGCAAAATTAATTTAAGAGCAGTTATGCTATGAAGTTGCACAGCTGAAGGACAGGGGCATCCAGTGTGTTCTCATACCTTTAATTCTCTCTGCAGTCCTCCTTTGCACTACGCCCATCCTGGAAGCCAAGGCAGGAGGGCTGGTCTGTACCTTTTTCCCATACCCACTAGGCTTTGATTTGGGACAAGGGAGGAGCAATTAGCAATCTAGAGACCGAGCTCTTAGAGTTTGGGCTTATAATGGAAGTGATAATTCCACTCTCTGGAGTAACTTCAGGCTGCTGAAATATATTCTTCATCTGTAGCCATTCATATCTGGTGTCTTTCTAACATCAGAGGATCTACCACATTTTACGGGTGCTAATGCTGCAACAACTTAAATAAACTCCACCTGGGATCTCTTCTCATCATGCGCAGGCAGTTTTGCCTGTCAAATATTAAAGCAGTATGTTTTTCCTGTTAAGGAAAGTGAGGCAAAAGCAAAGACAAGGGAAGTATGAGTTAAAAAGACAGGAATAGAATATAGCGACATGGACAGTCCCCACTTTTCATTCTGTGAAAACTGGGAATAGGATGAAGAAGTTTAAACACCAAGTAGGAGAACAAACATGTTCCTCTCACAGTTGGATTAATGTTCTTTCTGCTTTTAATGTGAAACTCACTCTGTCTTAATAGAGGGCAATAAGAAATCAATGAAAATGAATGGAAACATCTCATGTTGTATCAAATAAAGGTCTATGAAAAGAAAAATAAGGCTTTAGGCTTCTTATTCCTTTGGGTATGGCTTGACATAAACCAGCCATTCCCCATACCTTTCAGAAGCCACATTTACTACTTGCCTTCATAAAAAAAGTAGTATTTCCATCTTTCATCAGCCATATCCTCAAACATACAAAGAAACGGAGTGAATGAACAAACAGTGCCCTGTGCATGTGGCTCTGGCTTGAGACTATTTTCTAAAATAGCAAAGTGCAAATGAGCACAGACTTCAGACAATTAGAGGGGAAATAAATGCAGTGAACTTGTCTGATGCACAGGTGTAGTTATGTCCAGGAAATCAGCAAAACAGTTGGCAGGTAGTTTTCACAGCTAACAAATCCAGACAGATCTCTGGAAAACTAATGACCGTGAGTATTGGGCAAAAGTTTACAAATGCACCCTACTGTCCTTTGGCACTTTTACAAGTAAAACATGAAAATTATTTTCTACTTGCATATCAAACTCAGATTACTAACCTCGATTAGTTCTACTATGAGGGTAGTCATGCCAGAGTTCTGTGGGTTACTTCAAGGTCTTTAAAGAGTGTTTTGAGGAGAGGGGTCATATAACTTTGTAACAAGCAAATCCAACAGGTTCTATAACAGAGATACTCAATACTCATAAAATATGATTGGTTACTAGCTCACTTATTATTTTAAGTAGATAGTTTATTAGGCAGATCTGGGATTTTGCCAACTGAATTTGATCCTGGCAACTAAACTACCAATGAAATGGGTTGCTAACATCAGCCCCCGAGAAGGTGATAGGAATTACTGGATGGAAATACTGAAATCTAAAGGTTTGTTGTTAGGAGAACTGCCAGGAAAAAAAGGAGATTTGACAGCTATTTAGACCAATTCTATCACTTCATACTGAATTCAAGGTGAACTGACTTGATCATGTGATGCCTACTTTCATGTGCAGATGGATGCATGTGTGTATATACTCATACCTTTACCTAGGAAAATGCTTACCCCTATGGAGCCAAGCTGGGAGTTCGGGAAGAAAAAAAGGATGTATCGCTTATGTCTCTATGAATAATGTCATCAATTTTCTTTTGAAAGGAACTGTATTTAATAGTACAGGTATTCGCGCTGAGTAAAGAACGGCCACGAGAGGGCACACTCCAAAGGCTTTTTGCTTCACGCAAGGCAACCTTCCTTCAAACTCTTATTTTACCTAGTTGGATCCCGACTCTTAGAGATCTTTATGCTTATCTGTAGATTCTCTGAGTGCAGCTTGTTCCTCTCTTCTAGTTTATTTAAAAGGCAGAGATCCACTGAAGTGGAAAACTGCAAGGAAAATAATGCAGAAAGGAAACAGACAGAGGGGAAAAAAACTGATGGATGCTAAAAGTTCTGGAAATCTAGAGAGATCAAAAATTATCAATATTATTTTTTACAAGATACTGAGAAATGTGACCATGAATCATCATCTGAGATGATTTGCTCACATCTTTTTTTAATGCAGTCTCCTTGGCTTTTAGAAAACAAGCCTATTTTCCCTTGATTATTTTTTTCCTCTGGTATACTGTATCAAAGATTTCAAGATTAGGAAATGGAGGCAAGTTAATTCCAGAAGAGGAAATCCATTCTGTAATAATCTGTTTTATTGTATTAAAATGTGAGAATTCAGGGAGGTTGGTTGTTTTAAGAATGACCTGAGAAAGAACAGATGAATATGAGAAGGTGAGAACTAGTCTACAAAAAGATACCTGAGAGAGACAGAAAGTCTGTATGTGTCCATATCTGTGTGTAGTCATGCCCACAGTTTTGTGTGGAAAGGCAGTTAGGAATATCTGAACGTGTATTTGCCTGTATGTGTGTATAGGCACACATACATCCTTACGTACAGGTATGCTGAGATAGACATGCTTATATACCTGTGTAGTTTTACACATAACATTCTTGTGGAAAAGTATGTGTATTCATGCATTTTCCTGTGTGCAGGATATATCTACACTGCACACATGTAAATGATTCATGCTGAGAAGTTCTTATATCTAGATATGTCTATGAAAAGGCAATGGATGTCTATGAAAAGGCAATCTCATTTAATGCAACAGAGTTTTGCAACACTGATTTAGCATTGAAGCTTAGTCTACTGGAGAGCAACTAGAAGTTCTGTTATTCATTTCAGTGGGCTTGAGGTTTGGGCCTTAGTGCACAGAAATTAAATATTTTAATGAAAAAAGACTGGCGTCTTCTGATCCACTTAATTTTAGATTTTACAGCAAATTATTACAAGTATGTACAAAAAATTGCTATCTCTTTTATAAAAAACAAAGACTTGGTGTTGTTTTTACCTTGGAATATGTTATTGGTGCTTGAACTATTTCAGACATAAATGCAAAAATCAAGTAAAAAAAAAACACTTCAACCAAACAAACACCTTTTTTGTTTCTAAATATTTAAAGCCATGTGGGGGAAGG